AGAGAGAGAGAGAAAAAATTAGACAGAGAGAGAGAGAGGGAGAGAGAAATACGAGTGAGAGAGAGAAGAGAGTGAGAGAGAGAAAAAAGAGTGTGAGAGAGAAAAAAGAGTGTGAGAGAGAAAAAAGAGTGTGAGAGAGAAAAAAGAGTGAGAGAAAGAAAAAAGAGTGAAAGAGAGAAAAAGAGTGAGAGAGAAAAAAGAGTGAGAGAGAGAAAAAAGAGTGAGAGAGAGAAAAAAGAGTGAGAGAGAGAAAAGAGTGAAAGAGAGAGAAAAAAAAGATAGAGACAAAAGAGAGACAGAGAGCTAAATTGGATTTATTGTACTTAAACTCAACCTGTGTACCAGTTATATTGAACGCAATACCAGGATTCGTATATAAATGTAGCCTACCATAAACTCACTTTATTAATGCGTCACAAAATAGGGTTACACTTTTTTAACTCTAAATCATAACTATGATTTCAAACTTACCTCTTAAATATTAAGCTAAACCTCAAAACCATCGGCCAACTTTTAAAAACCGTTTCTAGCCACGAACTAGGTTGAGCACCTATAACGCCGTTATACAAAGTAGGCTGATATAGTGAAATCAAAAAAAAAAATATTTTCTTTTACAATTCATATTTCTGTACGTTTACTTCAAGTTTAAGAATTTCTCGAGCAAAATTTATTATTGATTTATAATATAAAATCATTTGAAAAAAGTTGATAAAAAACCCAGTTTAAATAAAAGAAACGCTAATGTTGAAATCGAGCACATCACGGGATACTGCACACCAGCCGGAGGCTCAAACGCCAAATTCGAGCAATGAAAGTAACAACAGCGTACAGTTGGGCAAGGAGGTAGAGGAGGATAACATGCAAAGACGAAGCAGTAGTCGTAAGTATGATCGACACGATGCTGGTCACTATGCGGACAATATGTCGGAAGATGAGAGTGACGTAAGCGCCGACCGCAAAATGACAACGCGCAAATCGCGTAAAATACAGGTGAAATAAGTTATGATATTCTTTTTAATATTGTAAAATAAATGCATTTATTGCTTTTAGCCAACCGATGCACATGACTATGACGGCGGCGTATCGGATTGTAGCCACTGTCGTAAGCATCGTATGGCTAGAGCGCGACGCAATCGTCGTAGGAAATCACGTTCACGCAGTCGTCGCCGTCGTCGTTAGATTTTCATTGTTCAGTTTTGATTTTGGTGAAATTTTCCGTGTGAGACTTTTGAGCTAAATTGATTTTATGTAAATTTATTATGCGAAATAAAATGGTAGTTAGTTAAAGACATGTTTGAGAATATGTTGAATCTTCTACAATATCCAATATCCATCAATTTTGGTTAGGCAGGAATTTAGTATACTACAATATCCAGAACGAAATTGCTAATACTTCCTTCAGTTACGTATTGCTTGTAATTTCTAAATAATTGTTTTTCTTTATATATTTTTATTTTCTTAATTTTTAATATTTAATTTTTAATATTTTTATATTTATTTATTTTTAATATGTTATTTTTAATAGTTTTCTCTTATATAATTTTATTTCTTAATTTTATTTTAATATTTTTAATATATTTTTAATATTTTTATATATTTTTATATATTTTTAATATTTTTATATATTTTTATATATATTTTAATATTTTTATATATTTTTAATAACTTTTATATATATTTTTAATATATATTTTTATATATATTTTTATATATATTTTTAATATCTTTTTATATATATTTTTAATGTTTTATATATTTTTATATATTTTAATATCTTTTATATATATTTTTATATATTTTTATATATTTTTAATATTTTTAATATTTATTACATAGAAAACTGAAGAATTCAATGGTAACCTCTAAAAATTATATTATTTACTAAACTATTTATGTATATGTATAAACAATTTTGTAGACTCAGAGTAAACCCACGGCCTCGGGTATACGTAAATGGAACTATGTACATATGTAATATCGGACGCGATAACTAAATAAGTACGCCATTCACAGTGGAGTGCCTGCTAGTAAATGTCACTTTGTTAAGTCGAACTAAACACCATTGCTGCCCGTAAGCTAGAGTTTCAGTTGATACCAGAGTTACTCTTGT